TACTGTGTATATTTATTATGTATATATAAATACACACACATACATATGAAAAATATGTTATATTCATATATTAAATATATTTACGTATAATATAAATTATATGAATATAAATATGTAAATACATCTAAATATTTTCAAAATATATACTGTATGAGTGTGTATTTATATATACATAATAAATATACACAGTAAACATACATATATTGTGTAGACAAAAACTTTTATTTTGGATGCGGCTAATCGTGATTAATCGTTTGACAGCACTAATATATATATATATATATATTTACGTGAGTGTACTGTATACATGCAGGCAAAGAATGTACCATATGTTCAACTGTTAATATATCACTGAAGAAATAAAATAAAACTATTAGAGGAATACTGAATCTGTTTTTGTGCAAGTGACATATATTATAGTTTACATTTTTCAATAATATAAACAAATTACAGCAGTTGAGATTTGTTATATAGTACATACTGTTTAATGTGAGTGTATTTTATGTATCTGGGTTGACAAAGTCATGTGATTTTCTCTCACTCTTAGTATCTGGCCCCTGAGATCCTACGGAAAGAGCCGTATGACCGCACTGTGGACTGGTGGTGTCTCGGAGCTGTGCTCCATGAGATGCTTTACAGCTTAGTATGTTCACACATTCACTGGATATATTTTAATCTTCTTGGCCCAAACTTAATGGAACATAATCACATTTCATTTGGGATGACTGTGGCACACAGCCTCCGTTCTACAGCCGGGACGTGTCTGAGATGTACGACGCGATCCTGCATAAACCTCTGCAGCTGGCGCCAGGGAAGTCGGAGGCCTCACGTCACCTGCTCTACGGACTCCTGCAGAAAGACCAGCGTCGCCGGATAGGAGCCATTGCTGATTTTGTGAGTGACCCTCTGGAGGTCTTTGTCATTGTGAAACCAGGCATCGGCATCACTGTTAATGTGTCAACTGTTCTGGTTTTGCAGTTGGAGATTAAAAATCATGTGTTCTTTGCCCCCATTAACTGGGATGACCTCTACCACAAGCGAATCACTCCTCCATATAACCCAAATGTGGTAGGTACTACAAACTCCCTTGGTGATCAGTGTTTGGGGTAATGCATTACAAATAATGTGAGTTATGTAATCAGATTGCTTTTTTAAAGTAACTAGTAAAATAAAGCATTACTTTTTAATTTAGAAGGAAATATCGGAGTTACTTTTTCAAATAAGTAATGCCTGTTACTTTGTTTCCCATGTCTTGAGTGACAGCTCCTATGTTGCCATGGTGACAGAAATCAGGAGAAAGTGCGGAGCGTTGTGATGTTACTGTAGATCTAGACTAAATATGAACATGTATTTACTCATGTCACCTGCACAAAAACAGATTCAGTATTCCTCAAAATGAATAAAGACAGTGCAATGCAAACTCAGAATATCATACAAACGTGCAATACTCAAATCTTAAATAAGACAAATATCATTTATGTATTTAATCCCATTTTAATAACCAATGTCTTTGCTACTGACCTTCGAGGAACCAATTCAACCATACTAAGCAAAAATCACACATTTGTGTTTCATTTTTGTTATTACTGAATAGTGTTGAACTTTCTTCTCCTGCGTCATATTCTTCATGCCATGTGTTTGAGCGGCGCCCTCTACTGTACATTTCCTTCAGCCTGAGGCGGATTCATTTCACTTTTGGTGTGAAAGGGCTTTTACATTTGTAAAAGAAGAACGTTTCATATTAAAAAATAAACAAGCAAGCCCTGCCAAGTTTTAAAAAGTAACTCAAATGTAACATAACGCATTACTTTCCATAAAAAGTAACTAAGTAACAGTTACTAAGTTAGTTACTTTTTTAGGGAGTAACGCAATATTGTAATGCATTATTTTTAAAAGTAACTTTCCCCAACACTGTTGGTGATTATTAGGAAGCAAATACAGATTATTACTGTATGCACCTCTTTACTGCATGCACACATTCATTTCTGCTCCATCTGACAGTGTTAGACTGAAAGCGATGTGTGTAATAAGAGTTCTGCCGTGCTTCTCCAGAGAGGCCCAGCAGACCTTCAGCACATTGACCCAGAGTTCACCAGAGAGATGGTGCCCAACTCTGTGGGCCGCACTCCAGATCTCACCCCCAGCCTGGCCACCAGCAGCTCCAACGCCTTCAACGGCTTCTCATACATCTCTGGAGAAGACGGCTTCCTCTGAGGCGCCGGCCGATGAAGGCTTCTCTCACCGTCAGGTCACTGAGCGCTGGAAAAACACTGGACTGCAGTGAGGGCAAACGCACCTGTCGGATGACGGGTTTTAAGATGTTGTGCTCATTTTGCATTCATCATAAGATATCTCATCAGTATGTTCGCTGTGTAAGACTAAAGGACATTGCGGGAAATGGATTTACTGATTGCACCACTTGCAAAGCAGCTATAGTAGCAACATCTGTAAAAGTCTAGATTTCTGCTCTTGCTCGTCTTTTGGGGATCGTGGATCTGCGTGCCTTACTCTTGGCCACATCCTCATCTAACGTTCTTCATCTGATTACTGAAAAGCATGGAAAATTACACCTTTGCTTTGTAACGTTTTGTGCAAAACGTTCCGTAAGAGCATTTCTTCTGTTATTAAAAATGACAAAATAAAATCTATTTTATGTAAGATCCGTAAATATGAAGTTAATCTGACTGTGCTTTATGAAATCATGTATTAATGCTCAGAAAGTCTTCAGATATGTGAAAAACCATTGATAAATGTATATCTGTATATGTACAGATATACTGCTCATAATGTTACATGTTTTTGTTTAAGGTGTTGTAAAATCGTGCTAAAGTTTCCCTTAATCTGTGTGATATGTCAGAATTCACCTCGGAAAAAAATGTGCTGAGATTTCACTTCATTTTCCTCTGATGTGGCGCTTTTTGTTTCCATATGACAAAGCAGCAATGAATTCATGCAAAACATTACATTCACACACTGCTCATTCATTATGACTTCACCAGTAAGCAGAGCATCTCCATCTGTTTTAATAGTAACATTTATAACATTAATGTTAACTTCACATTAAATAAACATCAAAAACAAACCATTTCATGATTTCATAATGCACCATTCACAAGACATGTAAAATCCCATGTTGACTTTATGATTACTAGAAATTGTTTTTAGATCAATTATAATTAGTTTTGCCCCTGAAGCAAAAGGTTCAACTTGCTCATTTTAGTCTCATCAGGTGACTGCAGATAAGCTCATTTGGTGACAAAAAAGGAAAAGAAAAAATCTGCACATTCTAGAGTAGAATTAAATTCACATGGCATTTTAAAACTCGTGTTCAAATGAGTTAAATTTGCACAGAGCTTTTAGAGCTTCTTTGTATATCACATTGAGCACTGGCCCGTATGAGGTCAAATGCACGTTATGAGGACATTATGAGTGTTTTAGGAATAGACTCACTCTGGTCATTTATGGCCTACAGTTTTGGAGCTCAAAGACTGTGTGTATGTTGTTCCAAATGTAATCTAAAAATGGACCACACTGACTTTCCAGGCATTTTCTGTAGAGTTAGTGTACTATGTGGGAGGTGTCTTTGTCTCTCTGGATAGAGTCCTGAACACACTGGCGTAAATTCACTCTGGCTGATTGTAGAAATTCTCTATTTGCAACCAGCAAAGATCAGTTTATGCAAGTGTGTGCTTTCCGCACTGTACACTAACTCTGGAAAAGGTCTGGAAAATTTCTGAGATAATGTAGATTTGTTAAAGTTTCTCCTTGTTTTCAGGCATTTAAAAATTATTTTAGAATTCTATTTCAATCCCTAAAACAATTAAAAACGAGTGCATTGAAACTCTCCAAACTACTATTTGTCTTATAATTTGCTTTACATGTTTTGGTTTTATTTTCTTTTAATTCATTTATTTTGTTGTTGTTGTTCTTGTGTTTATGATATGCTGCTTGGATTTATTGCTGGTGTGTTTAATAACTGAAAGATGACAATGCCTGTTTGTTATTTGAAAGGTTTAATAAAGCTAAGAACACATTTGACTTAAATTATATAAATGTATATAATTTTACACGCACTTTTATATAATTTTACACGCACACACACACACACACACACACACACACACACA